ATTCTTTAATACATTGAATATTGGTGTCATCTTACATACATATGTTGGTAAAACGCAAGTTGCGTTGGCACAACATTGGTCCCCAACGTCGTTTTTATATTATCTTGGATACAAATGTAACGTTTCTAACAACAAAAAGCTAACGTTGATACAAAATTTTATTTTAACTTGCATTTTAAGCTGGGCTAGCGTTGCACTCCTTGATTATCTGCATTATAATTTTGGTAATATTTTTTTGGTAATATATATACATATATATATATATATATATATATATATATATATATATATATATATATATATATATATATATATATATATATATATATATATATATATATATATATATATATATATATATATATATATATATACATATATATATATATATATATATATATATATATATATATATATATATATATATATATATATATATATATATATATATATATATATATATATATATATATATGTATATATATATATATATATATATATATATATATATATATATATATATATATATATATATATATATAGAAAGGTTAAGAAAATTGGGGAAGGGGGTTGAAACGGAAATTAAGGGGGCCTAACGCAGCTAAAATAAAAAATTATAATAAATAGAAAAAATTGAAATTCTGAGTTTCGGGGAAGAAACTCCTTTAGGCCCTTTGTTCCTATGTCAGTGTTTATATATATTTATATAAATCAAGTACCAACTTTCAGTTGTTTATTGCATTTGGCTAAGTAGAAATTAATGTTGCTACATCTATTAAATAATTCAACTGTCAACTAAATCAACTAATATATTTTCTAAATTTGACTCAAATCGACATTTTTGAAATCGATCAAAAGTTGATTTAGTCAAAAATTTAAATAATTTATTTTTTTGGAACAAATTGTAATAAAAATAATAAATTAATTTATATTCGCTTTCTATTTTTAACATCACATTATTTAAATATTATCAGAGCACAACAATATGAGAAAAAGGCCGTTTTAACAACGGGACAATTTATTCCCAGATCTCAATAATTTAGCGACTGTCTTAAATACTTGCTATATTTCAAAGTTTTTACAATCATATCGATAGGTTAATTGTAAAACATTATATGTTAAAATACTAACTTATGAATGTTGAAATATCGATCTTGATGAACGGAGATAAATAAAAAAATTATACACAGGAATGTTGAAGTAATACAATAAAACAACACTTATAATATGTTTTTAAATATTTGAGTTTGTATACGAGTTTAAACTTTTAAAACCATAGTCGATTAAATCGATTATACAATTTTTCAAAGTCTACTGATTTTGACTTTTAACTTTTTGATAAATTAGTCAATAATAACACTAATAGAAATGGAGATTTACTGTTTATATTCTCATTTATTAAAATCCAGTAAAATATTTGGTTCCATTACATAGTTAAATTTAACTTCACGTGTTGTTTGGCCGTTGTCAGTTCTCACTGAATCTTACAATTCACAGCTCTGACACTTTTAGCGCTTGTGTAGTCCTAGTGAGCTTCTATGTTACACTTATTTCCAGGGGTGAAGATCCGGGGTAAAGGTCGTATTGTGCGTGACTGCTTTTTTGCTACAAAATCTTGCTATTGATTTTTCATTACTCTTCAAAATAGTTAGAACTTTAAAACTTTCAGCAGCGGTATAGTCCCAATGATGTTTGGATGTTGCATATTAAAACATTTTCCAGGGCCGATGACACAAGTTGGAGCTAGTGCCCTTCCTACCCTAACTTTTTTTATTTATAAAAGAAAATCAAACGTTTCATAAAGGAGAGACACAACTTTTATTTGGATAAGACCTAGTGTCTACCTCAATGTAAAAAACAATTCAATTTTTTGTTTGTTTGGTCATCGACAATTAAAGAAAAGAAATAAATTATTTAAAAATGTAATTCTTTGGTAATATAAACAAAGCAAAGTTAATTGTTATGCACATCACCAAATAAGTTTAGTTTTTTTTAAACTCATAAAAAAAAAACAATTTTGTAATTAAAACTTTATTATGATTTTTTTTTGTCTTTTGGCGCTTCTATCATCTTGGCACCCAGAACACGTATGCCCCTTTTGCCCCTTCTTCTTGGCGGCCCTATATACTATCTAAATCGGAAGGACATCTAGTTCTTGCCTTGATTTTGATGAAAATTTGATATTACTTTTTGATGGTCCAAATATTTTATGAACAGATTTTAAATACCAAATTATGTTGCTTGTGGAATCGCCGGACTATTTTATTTTCCGCTATTTTCTTCGGGACGTTGACTTATTACAAATGCATTATTTGTTTTTGATGAATCTACACGATCCCAAACATATGATTTACTTGCTCTAATATTTCTTTTTTTCCCAAAATGGAAAAGTTAATGTTGTTCATCTTGTTCATTGAATGACATTTAAAAAAGTATATAATGTTTACAACTAAAACTTATCAATATCATATAATAATTAGTATTTTAGTTACTTAATTATACGCATTTTATTCCTAAAACATAATTAAATATTTTTATTACGCCGCGTTTCTTTAGTTTTTTTTCCTTTACTACTTCGCAAGTTACGGTGCGTTAGTGTTTCGTTTCGAATGAAATTTTGGTTTTTATAATTATTTAAAAAATAAAAACTTAAAATGTTAATATGTTGCGATACTGATAATAAAACTTTGTAATAAACATTTTGCTATATAAATATTTTATTTTTTACAATTATATCCGTTCGGCGAACAAACATTATTTATTTATTTTTTTCTTCTTCAAGTATACCATACAAAATATACATTTATTATCGTGAAAAAAAGAAAATATATATACAAAATTATTACGTATCGGATGGATAAAAATACATTAATGTAATATTGATACATTTACATAATATTGATGCAAACTTTAATATAAATTTTGGTATAATAACTATTATATATACTTATTTTTCTAAACTTTAATACCTAAAAAAAGGAAATCAAAGAAGATTCGCTTTTTTGGATAAAAAACTCCAAAAAAAAATCTTTTCGCTGACTCTCTTAATAGCGCCATTTGGTGTATATCTATGTCAATGTAAAAAGTTAGTTTAAATAAATTTAGAAATAATTTTTTGTAATTCGCTTTGTAATTACTATTTCTACTGTTCCATTTTTTTAATTTTTTTTTTTTACTTTTTGTATTTTTTTATTCCTTATTTATTGCGATCATTTGTTTTTATTCATTCTTTATAGACTTTAAAACGTTTTTTAGCAAAAAAAAAAAACTCGTTTCGCAAGCGCGACTACAGTTGAAAGTACCTCGTATGAAAGTAGCGCTTACATTAGCGCTACTTTTATAAGAGGCAAAATAGTTCTATTTTAAAATTTAACTTGTGAAAGGCTAAATTTCTTAACTAACATTTGCGAAATGAACATAGACGATTTTAAATTGTTCGTAATATTTGGTTACAAAAAAAAAAAAAAAAATATTTTTCAAATATTTATTTATATTGAAACCCATAAATTAATGCACCATTAGAAGTAACATTTTGTAGATGAACCGTTTTGTAAAACAAGATTTTATCCATTTTGTATTTTATATCGTGGAGGAATAGGATTGTTTCACCTATTTTTGGTTTATCTATTTATTTTCTAGACTTCGAGAACAAATTCAAAGAACCCATTCTCTTGATTGAAAATATTTTTGAATACTTTTGATAGTGACTAAATGTTATTCAATTTACTATGAAAATTCATACAATGTCTAATGAAATTTACATAGTTATAGAATATACAATGAAATTTTTAAAATACAATGTGTACTATTTGTAATATTTGTAACTTCTTTTTTTCTTTGTATTTTAAAATATGCTGTTTTTTGATAAAATATTATGGCGATAAGATAATTATAATCTTTTGTCATATACTGTTGTTTGTATCTTAAGTTTTTATCTAGACATTTAATTTATAAGTGAAATCTAAAAAAAAAAACTTCCTCTTACTAGAAAAAATCGTAAAGAGGTATAAATAAAAAAAAAAGAAAAAAGAATAGCTTATATCTGAACCTTATTTTGGTATTGCCAAAATTTTGGAATATGAAATATTTTTCTAAGCGAAAAAAATACAACTTCCAGCTTTTGATTTTTCATATTTTCCATATTCACATCAAATTAAAACATAAAGTAAATATTCTTCAACATTCTTGTCGAGATTTTGATTCACTGAATTTTCAAAAAATTGTATTTTTGATCGACGTAATCCCAACGGGCATTAGCTTTTAAAAATTACGTTCTAAATGCCTTTTAAATGTATTTTAAACGTCTTTAAAACATTCTAAGATGAAGAACCTTAAATTAACGTAAAAAGTACGTTTAAAAGACATTTAGAACGTAATTTTTAAAAGCAAATGCCCGTCGGGATAACTTTATCGTTTGTCGGTATGTATTTTGCATGTTTTTTTAATGATTCAAATTTTTGAAATAATTTTTTTTAATTAAAGAAGTGTCTGTCGGAGCCAAAACTTTTGGTTTGTGTGTGTACATTCCGCTGCTGCTTAAGGTATATCAGTAAATGTATGTACACTTAACTTTTTTTTTGTATTTTGCGCCTATGGAGCAAAGTATATATAAAAAAAAACGTTTAAAAGTCAGATTACTCGGTTGTAATAAAAATCCAGATATAATCAGTTGAAAGTAAAGTTATCTAAAATCAGTTTTCTGATTATATGAACTAATTATCGACACAATTCAACCCCACCCATGCGCTTCTAGCACACACAAAAACACGCCACTAATTGATAAGAAACTTTTAAAATGTTTCTAATACTAATTTTATTGCTGTATAATGCGCAATATAGTAACTTTTTAACTTTCTAATTTCTTAAATTTTTATTATTGGCACCGAGCAGTTATGATCTCTAAAAAAACAAATTACGTATTGGTCAGTCTTTAAAAACTCAAACACAATAAAACTTTAGTTATTTTATTTTTGTGAGTGTGATTTAGAAAATCGAAAGGCGGCGAGCACCTCTTACGTTTACTTGGTGAAAAAAGTCACGTCAACGATTCGGTTCTCTTACACTGTCTTGATTTCATTAAATACAAAATGGACGAAGTTTATGACTGTATTGTTTTAGGCACTGGATTAAAAGAATGCATTTTGAGTGGAATTATTTCAAAAAGTGGAAGAAAGGTTCTCCATATGGATAGAAACAACTATTATGGCGGTGAAAGTGCATCTATGACTCCTTTAGGAGAACTTTTTAAATTATGTGGAGAGACATTAGAACCAGAAGACAAATTTGGAAGAGGAAGAGACTGGAATGTTGATTTGATTCCTAAATTTATAATGGCAAATGGTGAACTAACAAAACTTTTAATTCACACTGATGTTACAAGATATCTAGAGTTCAAACAGATCGAAGGAAGCTATGTATACAAAAAAGGTGGGAACGTGTGCAAAGTTCCTGCAAATGATAAGGAAGCTCTAGCTTCAAGTTTAATGGGAATATTCGAAAAAAGGCGATTTAGAAACTTTTTGATTTGGGCAATGGCATTTGATTCTTCAGATCCGACTACGTTTCAAGGAGTTGATCCAGAGAAAACAACTATGCAGGAAGTTTTTAAAAAGTTTGGACTTGATCAGAATACTGCTGATTTTACTGGACATGCAATTTGTTTGTTCACTAGTGATGATTACCTCAATGAACCTTGCAAAGATGCTATTCAAAAGTTAAAGTTATATTACGACTCTTTGTCTAGCTATGGTAAATCACCATATTTGTATCCCCTCTATGGCCTAGGTGAACTTCCTCAGGGCTTTGCTCGGCTTAGTGCTGTCTATGGTGGTACTTACATGCTTGACAAACCAGTAGATGAAGTTGTATTTGAAAATGGTAAAGTTGTTGGTGTAAGATCTGGGAATGAAGTTGCAAAAACTAAAATGGTTATTGCTGATCCCTCCTACTTTCCTAACAAAGTTAAAAAAGTTTCACAAGTTGTGCGAGCAATATGCATCTTAAATCATTCTATTGCAAAAGCAAATAATTCTTCATCATTTCAAGTTATCTTGCCTGCAAATCAAGTTGATCGAAAAAATGGTTACTTTTTAATGTTGTCTTGATTTCATATAATTCAATATTTATAATTATATCTTTAGTCTGATTTTGCATAGTGAGTTCATGCATTAGTGGTAACTCTTTTTTTCAATATTTTTTATTATAGTTTTAAGTTTAATATAAGTTATACTTATATTAGAGTTAAAACTATTACAAAAAGTATACTTCAAAATATATGTGTATATATATATATATATATATATATATATATATATATATATATATATATATATATTTATATATTAAAATATATCCAATATTTATCCATTTTTGTACTGTGAAACAATTTAAAGTCAAATTTTGCAATTTTTTTCTAAAAAAATGTTTTTTTCATATCATTTGATTTAAAAAATTTTTAATGGCTTTTTTTTATACAACAGTGTCTGGTTTATTTGAATATTTCTTCATGGAATAGACTTTATCTAACACTTTCTCTTGTTGTAATTAAATAGAAATTTGAAGTCCGGACCTTATTTTTAATGTTATAGTTTTCTCTGCATTTAGGAACACATAATTTTTTAAAAACAATTTTGATATAAAATAATAAATGTTAAAAAACTGGCTAAAGTTGACTAATAGATAATAAGAGTAAAATTGTGTTCATTTAAGTTATTATTCTGCCACAATTCAAGTTGTAGAGACAGCTGGTAGGCCTGTAGTTTGTTGCTATTATATATATGCATACAAATATCTTTGTGTACTTGACCTTACTTGAAATGTTGTTGGTAATGTCATGTCAAAATAGTCCTAGAAAGTTTTTCCAACAAAGAAGAAAAAAATAAAAATTATTAAAAAAAAATTTCTTTAATAAAAATCTTCTTATATAGATTGTACCTAACTAAATCCTCTGTCAATGTATGTACTGAAGCCCCCGTAAATGGATGTTTTTGTACATCATCATCATTGGTTTTTCATGCAATTCTAAGTAAATAAAGTTATTTGCATGTATGTATATTATGGCATACATATAATCAAATGGGTAGCAGTTAGGGTAGGGTTACATGGCATGTAGGGGAACAAGTCAACATGTGGTATAGGATAGCAGTTAATTTTTAGTTTAAATCTGAAAATGGAATAGGTTTTAACTTGCATTATTCAAAATGGTGTTTTAACACTTTTTTAACACCTTTTAGACATTAGTGTTGGTTATTTATTTTAATTTAGTTTTTTAATGGTTGTTTTTTTTAATTTAATTTGATTGATCATTAGCACTGAAACTAGTTTAAGTTTAAGTATGTTTTATTTGAGTGAAGTTACATTTTATAAGTCAGTTAAATCTTTTGCAGAAAATGTGTTCAAGTAAAGATAAATAAAAATCCGGAGATTTTGGCGAAGCTTATCTTTTTAAGATATTATTATCCTAATACTTATATTGCCAATATTTTATTAAAAAATTTTAATTTATAAATTAATTTCTTTAAGTCTTGTTTAACTTTAATTATGGAGAATTAAAAACAGTGGTAGCTATATTTATGCAAAAATAGAAACAATGGACTTTTTTGTATTATAATGTTTTATATTATCTTAATATTTTTGTATTTTAAGAATCTAATTTCTTGTTATTGCTATATCAATTGCACAGGATAAAATATAATTGTAGGTAATTTTTTCATGGGGTAAATAACAGATTTTTTTATTTGTGGCTGCTCAATTTTTAAAAAAAATTTTGTTTTTTTATTTTTAATTCTTTTAACCCTAAACTTTAAAATGCAAACCTCATTGAGCAAGAAGTTGTAAAAGCAAGTTAAGCAAAGTATTTTTAGGGGCATAGGGTTGATTTGAACCTTAAATTTCTTGATTGTGAACAGAGTATTATATACTATTAGTCTACTAAATTAAGGACAAAATAGTGTCCAAGTTATGTTAAGTCTTGTCTTGTCTTGATCTTAAACTCTAAATTTTGACTGCGTGACCATAATAGGGTAGTTAAGTTATATTAATAATCAGGGCCATCCAGAAGAGACCTTTAGAAAAAGGGTTGACGTATCAGTTATTTGCCAACTAACAACTAAAAAGCAACCTAAAAAAGATTCTTGTTTACTAACATGTGTGGACTGTCCCAAAAGGTCTAAATTTACAGACTGTATTTCCAAATTTGCAGACTAATTTTTCAATTACACCTTTCCCCCTAGGTAGAGTTGCAAAAAAAACCGTTTTTTTTAAATTGTGTTTTTTTTGCAAAAAAAACATGTTTTTTTTGTGTTTTTTGTGTTTTTTATGGTTTTTTTTGTTTTTTAGATTAAAAAAAAAATTATTTACTTTTATTTAATTTTTATTTTTATTATAAATGTAATATAATATATATTAATAACATGATATATGGTAAATATATAGTACATCATTTAAAAGATTTATTTTTAATTAATAACAGATTCTGTATTCTGGCTTTCTTGTTCATTAAGGTCTTCTATTGTAAAGTCAAATCCGTATTGCATCCACAACTATTCACAACTCAGAAAAATAAAATTGCATTCGTATCCGGATGCAACTTTATTTTTCTGAGTTGTGAATGGAACTCTTGTTGAAGAATACAATCGTTTTAAGGGAGGCTTATCTGATTTGGTTTTATTTGCCTTACAGTCTCCAAACTTAGGGGTTGTAGACCTACTTTGGTTTCCAAAACAGCTTGGTGTTGGAAAGAAAGACTCAATTGGAACTTGTGGAATAGCAGATGATAAACATATTTTTTTTTCTCTTTTTTCATATCTTGAATAGGTAAGTTTTCAGGAATATCTTCTTCCATCATTAGTTCAGTTTGAACTTTCTTCTGTTTATAAGGCATATCGTTCAAATATTTGTTTTTTATTTGATCGCCACATTTCATACATTTTGCAATGTGCTCAGTCATTCGAGTGCCATTTTTTGATAGCTTTAAGCTGCAAAATTTGCATATAACTTGTTGAATTTTAGAACCTCCAGATTCTAAAGGTGCCTCATTGAACAATGTAGCTACAAAACATTTCTTTCTGCCTGGCATATTTTTTTTTAGATTTCTTTTTTTTTTTTTAATTAAAAATAATTAATAGATTACAAATTGTTTAATATAAATGTTTTTTCATTAGACAAAGTTAATCATTGTGTTATTTTTATTTACTTGAATATTGTTTGAATAAATAAAATTTTAGCTATCTAATTGCAATTTAAAATAAAATAAAGAAATTAAATATTAAAAATTTAAAAAAGTAATATACAAAAGTAAATAAAACATTAAAGTAAATTTTATTTAACAGTTGGTTCAATTTTGTATTTTGCAATGCAGTGTTATTTCATTCATTTTTATGAATGAAATAACACTGCTAAAATAACATTTTTATTTCCTTCATTCAGTAGTATTATACTTACAATCAACTAGTAGCTAATAGTATAGTTTTTTTGAGATTTATTTAAAAAATTACTTTTTTAAATATTTAATACTGTTTTTTTTTAATATTGGTGATTAGTTTGTAACAGCTATTATATAAGTTAATATGCATTTTATTAAATAGAAAACATTTGTATTTTGTAGGTTTAAGGGCACTGGAACTGTTTCAAGTATTATTATTATCTAAAATTTAATGAATACTAAAAAAAAGCAAAAAAAACTATAAAAAACATGTTTTTAGAACCAGTCTGTTTTTTTTGCAAAAAAAACGTGTTTTTTTAAAAAAAAACACACTGTTTTTTTTGGGGTTGCAACTCTACCCCTAGGGATGGCTCTGTTTATAGTTATTTTCTACTTAAGAAATATAACAATATTGTCTTTAGAAATAATTTTTTTTTGTCATAAATATATTTTCTATAGTGTTAACACAGCATCAAAATTTGTTAATACTAAACTTACTCAAAATAATTTTAAATAAATTCAATTGTGCTTGATGAAATTTGTATTTATTTATAATTTAGATATTTATGTTGGTGTCTTGTCAAATCAAAATCAAGTAGCTGCAAAAGACTATTATCTTGGTTTTGTGAGTACCACAGTAGAAACAAACAATCCTAAAGATGAACTGAAACCTGGGTTAGATTTGCTGCAACCAATTATTAAAAAATTTGAAACTGTAAAGGACGTATTTTATCCTATCGATGATGGAAAAGAATCACAGGTTTTTTTTTCAAATATTTATCTTGTTTTTAACTATGCAAAATATTCACTAGTCTTGAATGAAAAAATGTTCAAAATTTTTATACTTAAAAATCTAGTTCAACTATTTGTTTTGAACCTGTTGACTGAGGTCATGACCTAAGTTCAACTTTGGTAAAAGTCACTTTTTTTAAAAAAATTAACATAAAAATTTTATGTGAAATTTTTACAAAATTTTTCTATCGCACTGTTATTTATTTTTAAGAAAGTGACCTATAAAAGGACTAGAAATACATACATTCTTGTTGCCAAAGTTGAAAAAGTTAAAAAATAACTCTTATTTCCTAAAAAAAAATTCAATATAATAGGTCTAATTAATTTTACAATTAGTTCTTTTAGACTTTCTGAGAGTAAGAGGGTTGTTATTTGTCAATATAGGAATGCTAAAAATATTTTTTACAGTAATGAGTTTTGTTGTCTAACAAAAATTGTGGATTTCATTTCAATTGTGGATTTCAATTGTGGATTTCAAAATTGTGGACTTCATTTCATTTCAAATTGTGTGAAGTCCAGACTTAAAATCCACAAGCCACTTCAAGCCTTAGGCTGTTTCAGAAGAGAGGTCTGATTAAAAATTGGCTGCTTGTTCTAAGCAATCAAAAAGGGAAGATTTTTTGTTAAGACAAGAGTATAAAATTGAGTTGTCAGCAAATAGAGCCACTTGAGATAAACATTGATATTGTAGATATCATGAACATTTTTTCATGAACATTGATATTGTAGATAAGAAACAATACAGAAGCAAATATAGAACTTTGTGGTACCCTTAAAGTTACTTGAAGTAAATTTGAGTGTAGGCTTTCAAGAATAACTTTAATAGTTAGAAAGTGATAATTTTATAAACAATCATTTAGAAAGTTATAATTTAATAAACAATCATAAAATATTTTTTTACTTTTTATTAATATCAAAAGATACAAGTAATCAAAAAAAAAAAATCATATCAATTAAAAATGCAAAAAATTATTATCAGTGGTTTACCTAAAGAGTATGATAAAAATAAAGTTGTTAATATTCTACACTCACAAAACAGTTTTATCCAAGAATTTAGCAAGGTGAACAACATCAAAGATTATTTTAAAATATAAGCTATCAAACCAATAAAAAATAAATCATTAATGTTTCAAGTATTTACGGAAGTTAGTAAAATATTATGAGGTTTTCAATGTTATAAAAACAAAGTTATACTCTGGTTAACTTCTTGCAGAATATATGACAAGCTCAATGTGTTGTTTTAACTGTCAAATCTCTAGACATTTTACAAAGGAATGCAAAAACAAGATCCGATATGTGCTAATATAAATAATAAAAACTATGTCTGGATTTCAGTCAAGTATATGCTCCATTACATCTGGAAGTTAATAGAAAGAGAGCGAACTTTTTATAGTGAGCATAATATATAACTTATGTAGGTTTTATCATCCTTTTGGACTTGGCGTTTATATGATTCCTTTTAAATTTTTTCTTTTAAGGTATTTTTTTTTTTGTTAAGTGAAGGACATTTATCCAGAATCCAGACATTTTTAAACATGGGTGACTTCTGAAAACAATAATACAACAACAATGATAAAGAATTATGGATATGTTTTGCGTCACAAAATAAGAAAAGAAAGAGATAAAGAAAAAGGTTGGGTAGGAATTTGTTAAAACAATCAATTAGGCACAAACAACTACTAAATAAACTATTTCACTATTGAACATGTGGTAAAATTACTGTAGCCAAAAGATTAGTTATAATTTTAATTTGCATTTATAGACTAATATTTGTCTCTTACACAATATTTCTGGATGAATTCATGGATTTACTTGAAGTAATTTACAGTAGTATCAACAGGTTGCCCATATGTTATAGCTGGTGATATAAATATACATTTAGATACTAAAGAATTATATAGCAAGTGCTTCAAAGAAATACTAGAGGTACTATATCTTACACAAGTCAAAAAGCCAGCTCATGGGAACAAAATGGGACACATTAGATGTAGTAATTAATAAGCTAGATTAAATATCAGTAATTATGCTAGCTGTGGCAGGCTTAGAGTCGAGTGACCATTCTCTCATTGATTTTGAAGTAGAACACAAAATTAAAAAAAAAAGTTAAACCATTCTATCACATACTGGAATTTAAAAACTGTGGACATACAGCCCTTTAACAATAAAATAATAAGAGGTAAAGCAGAAATATTGTTAGCTAAAAGAATGAAATACAAAATAGCCATATATAACCGAGTAATAAAAGAAATATGCCCACAAAAAGAGTAAAAATAGACAAAAAAGCTTCTTGGTTTGATGAAGAATTTATGCAACTTAGGCGAAAATGAAGATAAGCAGAAAATTTGTTTAAAATAACAAAAAAATGAAACTGACAAAAAATATAGATGCCTCAAGAAAAAACAACGATTGCTTATATAAAAAGAGAACATACTTCTCTAACCTATTAAATAAAAACACTACAAGTAAAAATCTTTTCTCATTGGTAAAAAAGAAACTAGATAAAACTTAAGAATATGTACTACCAACAGCCAATATTCCAAACAAAGAAAAGTGCATCAGGTTGTAATAGTCAGTTTTTAAGAAATTTTGACATACAAAGAAATTGACAAAATAACCATGATATTTGGAATAAAAAGTTCATCTGAAGAACTGATTCCAGATATCTATTAAGGAATAATTTACAAACATTTATACAAATATGGGTTGAAATAGTAAACCTATTGCTAGAATCAAGCAGCATGGATTGTCTTAAAAGTGCTAAATTAGTTTCAATAAAGAAGTTAGACTCGGCCACAGATAATGAAGGCTTCAAAAATTATAGACCAGTTTCTGATTTAGCTTTCATTAGCAAGCTAATAGAAAGAGTAGTTTGCAATTGTCTTGATTCCCTCATGACAACAAACAATCTTCATTAGAATATCAATATGGATACAAAAAACATCACTCAACTAAAACACTTTTACTTAAGCTTACCAATGATATATTTAAACTCTTTGATAACCATACATCTTCAGTACTAATGTTACTTGATCTAAGTACTGCCTTCGACACTATTGATCAGCAAAAACTACTTGGGCTATTAACTAGTGATATAGTTGATTCAGCTCACAAGTGATTCGAATCATTTTTAGTTAACCGTAACCAAAAGGTTAAAATTGGTAACTCATATTTTACATTTCAATCCTGTGAATATGAGTTACCAATGGAATATAAAATGTTCTTGGAATATGAAAGCCCTGGGTCCAAAACTCTTGAATATTTATATGAGACCAGTACATAAATATCTGAACATAATCAATCTTAAAACTTTTAAATACTCAAATGGTTATCAAACTCTAAAAGCATTCCTTTCTTCATCTCAATATAATGCACTAGTCCTGTCTTGAATACATATCTAAATGAATGAAATTTCCTATGTATTAACCAATCCAAACAAAAATAATTGAAATTGACACTATTAAAAAAACTGCAGTCTGTTCAAAATTGTGCAGTAAGACTAGTATTTAAAACTAGAATAGAAAATCAAATAAACAACCTGTATGTTAACAATTTTCATCGGCTGAAAATTAGAGAATAAATCTATTTCAAGGTTCTTTTAATAATGCACAGATCTATTATCCTGGAAGTACAAAGGTCATTATGCAATTTAATTCACTACTCAATCTCTGAAAAAAAAAGCTAAAATAAAAGGAAACTAAATGCAGTAATCGTTTTGATAACTGAGCATTATCCCAATTATCATCCATGACAAAAAAAAAATTATTTATAAGAAAAAACTAAAATCCTATTTAATGGTGAATGTTGAACTATTCCACCAGAAAACTCTAGAATAATTAAAGTTTTACTAATATAATAATTTGTTACTAAGATAAACAAGTGTTTTGCCAACTTATCCATCATTCTGGCAAAACACAGTAGCTGTAGTAAATCTATGTATTTATTTAAGAATCTATTATGACTAAACTAAGGCAAAATTAGGGTAGTATTATATTGTTAGAATCTTTTTTTCGGAAAAGTATCCATATTATTTATTGTGTAAGTGGTTTTGTTGTGATGATTAACATTTTATGAAAACAGAATATCAAGCTAATAATGTTAATTATGTCAAGCTAATTATGTTTCTTGAAGTCCTGATAAAATGAAAAAAATGTCTAGAGAAAGATTTAAGAGATATTAAGAAAAATTTAAAAAACCAGTCTTTCTTGGATCATAGCATTTATCAATCAGCTTAATATAAAGAGCAGTGATCCTAAATAAGCATGTGATTGTATCATATAGATAAGCACATCAGGTGTTTATTAAAATTTATTTAAACTCAAACAGTTTGAATTCAAAAAAAGGCATTTGTTGATAAGAGTTTGTTCTTAAGATTTTCTAACGTAATTTAACATATTTTTAACCTCTTAATGTAATTTAACCTATTTAATTTTAAAATGTTTATAAAATGGACATAATTTTTTGATCAATTCTCTTTTTTATGAATTTATATGGTATTTCCGCAATAGAAGAGATAAATTTTGTCTTTAAAAATTTTTTTTTTTTTAACTTTTTTTCTTTAATTTACTAACTTTTTGAAAAAAAGAAATTTCTGTTGAAATATATTTTTTTTATCACACATCTGCAAAATTTGTTTTTATCACTAAACTTTATGATAAAATAGTTGAATTAATTATATAAAATTCGGTTATAGGTCAAGGTTTGTAAGAAAATAAAAAGTAAACACGCTATAGAGAAAATATTGAGAAAAATAAATTCGCTATCACTGATTGAAGAAAAAAAAAGCTAAAAAGCATATTAACTTATAGTTATTTTTTCATAGCTGTGCATCATCATCGGGATATAATAGCCATATTACTTTTTTCTTTTCTTTAAAATAGCTATACTTGACAAACATCTAAATCTCATATAATCCAAATAATTTTCCTAAACCTTGAAATACTGATCAATTAACGTTAGCCCATATTTATAACAGTTTGTAACTCAATTTCTGTATTTGGTTTTTTAATTAAAACTAACTCTAAAAAAAGAATTAGACGTCTCATGTTGACCCAATGTGTTAAAATATGTTGACATTATATTGAGAGCGATATTGAATTTAACATTTAAAAATAAACATGATTGGTTATTATATTATATTAACAGACCCAGTAGCTGACACTTTATTGAAAAGTATCACGGTTTATTTAATATAGCATTAATTTACAGCTTGGATAATCTTTATTTTTTGAAAGACTTAGGCATTTCTGATTTGATTTTCTTGTAACAAGCAACAGGTTTATTTAAAATCCAAAACTTATTTCACACATTTATAAAATAAAATGTTTTTGACATAAACATTTAAAAAAGCAATATCTTAATTACTTACACTTGGTTGATATTTTTGTGTCAGGATTGATTTTGTTTATTTACAAAACTTTTTATTCTTTTAGCATTGTTTTTAAAAAAAACTTTATTGGTTTTAATTAATTCTACAAAAAGTGTTTTTAATGGTAGAGAGTTGGAATATTTTTTTATTATTGTTAAAACGTGTTTCTGTTTTTTTTTTCAACTTTTTGTACTTTTGGCTAGTCGGCCCACTGTGAGCGATTTAAATCCCACCTTGTGAGGTTACTAAAATAATAGCGCAAGATAAAGAATGTTTTTTTGAGGTTTAGTTTTAATGAATGGTTTTTAAAAGGAAGTATTAAGTAATTTTCAGTTTTCTGAAAGAACTGTTTTAGAATGATAAAAGTTATCATTTGAATGATTTGAATTTACTATATTTACAATATTGCTTACTGTTTTTGCAGGTTTTTATTTCAAAGTCATATGATGCAACTTCTCATCTCGAAACAACTTGTGACGACATCAAAGACATATATGAAAGAATATTTGGAGAGAAGTTTGATTTTGACAAGGTGAAGAGTGACCTCTCCGAGAATCAATCGTAGAGAAATGTCGTAATAATTCTAAATCGTTTCATTTATTGAAAGAAATTTTCAAAATGTGTTTTGTATTTAAAACTTGCTTTTAAAATTTGCATTATTTTTCTGTCCTAGTTTTTTTTTTTTTCTTTTTTTTTTTTTTCTTTTTCAATAATTTAATGCTTTTTTCTGATTGTTTTTCTTGCTAGGCGTTGCGTTGGCGTTTTCATAGATTGTGTTTTATTTTTTATTTTATTGATGTAATTTTATGTAAAGATGTCGTACAATTTAATGTATTTTTATGTAAAGATATCGTGCAATTTAACGTATTTGATCAATGAAATTGATGTTTAGTTGTCTTTATTTTTTTGAAAAAGTTTTTGAAACTTTATCATTGAACTACGAATGCAAGTAAATACAAATACAGTAAATATAGTAAATGCAAAAACTTTAATATAAATCAATTAGTTGGTAGCATTAAAAAAAAAGTAAAATTTTAAAAATGTCTTAAAATTAAAGTCTTAAAAAATATTTAGGTATCGTCCAAAGTTTTCCCTCGTAGAGCAATAAAAAATCAAAATAGCTCAAGTTTAATGAAAATCGCCGCGTAAAAGAGCTTTAGGTTTACTTTTTTTTTTATAAAATAAATTTAGCGTAACTTATGGAGGATGGAAATTCATAAAGCTGCAAACATCATAGTAAGCGTTTTGTTGTTGCCATTTTTAATTTTTTTTTTTTTTAGATATACACTACCATTCATAATTATTCGAATGACATAATTTTCTTAAAAAATATTCTTTTATTTAACTAATTGTTATGTTAATTTTTGCACTATTAAATGATTATTATAACTATTAGAAGTATTTTGATTGAAATTCTTAAATAATAATTAAAAGAAAAGCAAAAATGCTTAAGTGTGCAAAACTACATAAAAAATGGACCATCAATGACTGTAAACGTGGACCGATGTGTGGAAGATTTAAATCTTTGGTTTCAAGATAAGATTGTCTGAAAAAAACCCACTGAATGTATGATAAAATATGATGTTATTGACTGTAAAACATGGTGAATGTAGTGTTAAGGTGTAGGGCTGTTTTTGTTGGAATGCCGCAAGTGACTTAGTTAAAATAGAGGAAGTAACGACAAAAGTAGTTTACTTGTACAACTAGTACAAAAGTAGTTTACTTGAAAAATCTTGCTACACCTTCGGAAATATAGGTTAATGGGAATCAAAAGGTGAACTTTTTGTATTCCATGTAAAGCCTAGATGACTAAGCTTACCTTGAAGTTTTATTTGTTAAGTGTTACTGAGCATGCTTTTAATTTGTTTTTTCCCGTGAGAAAGAACTCGGTTTTGTCAGCATTCAATTTTATGCAGTTTTCTTTTGTGTATATATTATAGGTATTAAGCTTTTGAAGGCCAGAGAGGGTAGAGCTTAAAAGTATATCATCAGCATATGCTACAATACCCATATAATTTTCATTTATTGATGTACCTTCGATGCTTTCATTTTGTCAAGTTTCTAGTAAGTTAAATGTTATACAAATGAGGCAAGAATAAATCCAAGCAGGAACAGGAACCAAATAATCCGGTCAGATTTGTGTGGCCGGAACCGATTTTCATTTGATCACTATTCTTAAACATTTTCAAAGAACTCACCTTGCCGTCACCTTCTTTTGTTTTTATTTACGCAGCGTGTCACCACCTTATATTTTTTAAAATATATATATATATATATATATATATATAAGTTAAATAGAATGGATATGATTTGCAATCTAGATAAGAAACAGAAGCATTGCTTTCATAGTATAAAGACGATATGGTATTAACGATATACAAAGGGAAATTTTTATCATTGTGCAGTCTTTTAAAAAAAATGTCCCAGTTTCAGCTGTCAAACGCTTTTTAAGCATCTTGGGAACAGAGATAGAAAAGTGAGTTGTTATTGTTGCAGTGTTTGATTTCACTAATAAAAAATTCAGCGTGAACAAAAGACGCGCTTTTAAAAACGTTACAAAAAACTCGTTCGCCTAATTTTTTGAAAAGCGTGATTTCAAAATATGATTTTACTATTATCATTATATATGGCTATAATTAATTACAAAGTACGCGGATAATAAAGACGTTTTCAGAATGAGTTCGTTTTTTAAATTTAGATAACTGGTTCCCAAGTTATGACAATTTATATTGGGCTCAATAACGCGTCAAGATTTGTTAAGTTTTCCTTAAGGATTTATGGCATAAAATTTTGATTATAAATTTGTTTTTCAAATGCCATCAATGTTATTAAAGGTGGTAGCCCTTCTTGCCACTCAAGACTTGACAAGACTGTTCTTATTGTATTGCCTTGTTGTATTGTTTTGTTGTATTATTGTATAAATAAGCAGCCGTGGCGCAGTGGTAGCGCACTTGCCTCAGAACCGTAAGATCCGTAGTTCAAACCACACTTGTGGGCAAGTTTTGCGACATCGGTTGGGAAGGAGGCGTGAACTTCCTATAAAATGCTCTTCCGCGGTGCTCTGTGACAAGACCGTAAGGACTTCTTGGGGCACCTTAATTAACTTAAAATAATAATAATAATAATAATAATAATAATAATGCCAGCATCTAAAGTTAATATCGCAACTGACACGCAGCCAGTGATTGATGACAGCAAATTTGAGAGACTATCAGTTACTAAAGTTATCAAAAAACTTTCAAATATTGTCAGCTGGATGTGCTTTTGCATTTTGTCATTTCATTAATGAGAGATGAAATGACAGGTATGAAAAACATGATATACGACCAAAGAATTGTGATAGAAAAACTGAAAGCGCAAGTCAAGACCCAAAAAAATAAAGTCATAAGTGCAACAAATCCATTTAACAAAACACAACTCGCAATATAGTAATAAACGCTTGCGCAACAGAGGAAAAAAACAGAAGATTAAACGAAAGAAACGTCATAATTACAGGTTTTGAACTTTCTGAAACAAACAATGATGATGAAAACAAAATAGCCGTAAACAATTTTTTCAATTCAGCAGGAGTATTACCGATTAAGGTACAGAAAGTATGCAAGCTACTCATCAAACCAAAAACACCAACCTCAAAAAATGTTTGTCTACTACAAGTTACTCTCGAAAAGCCTGAAGATCAGATTAAAGTACATTAGCCATTGCAAAATTAACTATTAGCCATTGCAAAATTAACTATCTTTGCTAAACCAAAACTTGGACCAAACCAACTCTGTATTCCTCTGGAAAATATTATACACTTCATATATTCGACCTCATCTAGAGTTTATAATCCAAGCCTGGTCATCACATCTTATTAGCGATATCAACAAATTGGAGCAAATTCAATATCGTGCAACAAAATTAATAAACTCCTTGAGACACTATAATTATGAACAAAGATTAGAAGCATTTTTATTATTATCAATTTTGTTATTTAGGTGCCCCAAGACGACCTAACGGTCTTGTCACAGAGCACCGCGGAAGTGCATTTAACCAGGAAGTTCAAGCCTCCTTTCTTAGCGTGACGCAAAAATATGTATAGAACTCGTTTGAACCTGGATCTCCTGCTTATAAAGCAAGTGCTCTAACCACTGCGCCACGGCCGTAAAAATGAGAGATACATTTGGACTGATAACACCAGAAGCGAGGAGGCAAAGAGGGAAACTTATAGAACTACTCAAAATCAATCAAAACATTAAACAAGTAGATTTCTATGTACCACAACGTTACCCCTTTTCCAAATCAGCGTAATACAACCTAAGGCGTAACCACGAGTTTATACTTCAACCGCAGCGAGTCAAAAACTGTATAGAGAGATTCAACTTTTTTAATAATCGTATTTGTGCATCATGGAATGTACTTTCAAGCAACACCATCAACTCAAAATCTGTTAATATTTTCAAGTCAAGATTGCAGCATTAGAACACTCACAAATAATAGAATTATATGGATCAGTTTTTCAGCATAGCAAGGCCTGGCGCTGAGCTCCATCAAATTTATAACATTTTTTGTAAAATTTGATTACTAAATAAACTAAACTAAACTGTATTAAGGGCCCCTAGGTAAGGATCCCACTGCTCGTTTGCCCCATTTAATCGGGACAATCGGATCAAAAGCTAAAAAAAACTCTGCTAAAACCGTTAAAATCAACTTAACTTAAAGAAAAAGAGCTTTTTCAAACAGCCAGAGTGAAGAAATTTATTTGCATTTATACATGTTGAGAAAATATTCAAAAATCTTTGGGCTTGTTTCCCCCATTCAGGGCAATTGGGACAAGAACAATCAATACTCTGTTAAAACAATATAAATTAATTTCAGTTAAAAAAAGAGCTTTTTCAAACTGTCAGAATTATCAAATTCATTTTTATTTATAAATATTAGGAAAAAAAAGTAAAAATATTAGAGCCCGTTTTCCCATATTGGGGCAAAATGTGCCAAGAATACAAAAAGCTCCGTTAAAACCGTAACAATTAACTTTAGTTAAAAAAAAAAGAGATTTTTTAAATTCTCAGAGTGAAAAAATTTATTTACATTTATAAATATAAAATTTTTTAAAATAATTTCAGATTTAATTCCTGGAATTAAGGCGTTTTGGGCGGGAACAGTTAAAGCTCTGTAAAAACAATAAAAACAAACTTTAGTTAAAGAACAAGTGCTTTTTCATATTGTCAGAGTAAACAAGTTCATACACATTTATAGAAATCATACAAAATATATGTAAGAATCCCAGTGCCCGTTTGCCCCATTTGTGGCAATTGGGTCAAAAGTTATGAAATTTCTGTAAAAACCAAAAAAATAAACTTTAGTTAAAGAATGAGAACTTTTTTATATTGTAAGAGTAAATAAATTGATATACATTTATAAAAATCCAAATTTTCCGGAAAGAAATGTCTTTGTAAATCATAGAAATACAATGCTTTGCTTTGTCCAACCACTGCCTAAAACACTCCATGTACTTTCTTCTGGGGCATTTTCAAATTAACAACTCAAGAGAGACTTAGTAGTTTTTCCTTTAAATATGAAATGTGATAGAAAAAAGTTACCCATTTTATTGACACAAGCTATTACTCTAATTATTTCCCAGCCTCATTAATATTCCAAATGTTTTGCGGTTTCTGAAATAAGTTGTTTTCCGTTAACACATTTTTAACAATGGAAAAATATTTTGACACTTTACAAACATTCATACACTAATATCTTATAGCTGCTGTACCTTTTAGTTGACGTCAAGTTAAATCTTTGTCTCTTTTGCAGATCCCAAGCCATCATTTTATTGTAGGAGTTCCATTCTTGAATGCTTTTTATGTTTTAAAGCAAAATTTTCAGCATGTTTTAGAAATTGCAAT